AGAGAATCACAGAGAATCACAGAGAATCACAGAGAATCACAGAGAATCACAGAGAATCACAGAGAATCACAGAGAATCACAGAGAATCACATAGAATCACAGAGAATCACAGAGAATCACAGAGAATCACAGAGAATCACAGAGAATCACAGAGAATCACAGAGAATCACAGAGAATCACAGAGAATCACAGAGAATCACAGAGAATCACAGAGAATCACAGAGAATCACAGAGAATCACAGAGAATCACAGAGAATCACAGAGAATCACAGAGAATCACAGAGAATCACAGAGAATCACAGAGAATCACAGAGAATCACAGAGAATCACAGAGAATCACAGAGAATCACAGAGAATCACAGAGAATCACAGAGAATCACACAGAATCACACAGAATCACACAGAATCACACAGAATCACACAGAATCACACAGAATCACACAGAATCACACAGAATCACACAGAATCACACAGAATCACACGCACACTGCGTGCGCGAACACTCGCCGATGCGCGCACACGCACATGCGCCCACGCCTGCCCACCTGTGCGCCCGCCTGCGCGCGCGTGCGCAGTCGTGCACGCACGCATGCGCGCTCTCGTACAGTCACAAGCGCGCACACCCATCCATGCACGCACGAACACGTGTGCACAGGCGCACCCGCCCACCCACCCCACCCAGCCACCCACCCCACCCAGGCAGGCGCGCGCGCACGCTTGCATGCGCACCCCCCGCCTGCCCGCCTGCACGCCCGCCCACACGCCCGCGAGCCGGCACACGCGCACATGCAGGCACGGGCGCGTACACGCGCACACAAAGCATTCATGCACGCACGCATGCTCACACGCGGACAGGCGCACACGCAAACACACATGTACGCGCGCACAGCCAAGCACACGTGCGCACGCGCGCTGACACACACACACACACACACACAAAGCATTGTTTCGGCATTCGATTTGACTAATTTTAACCGATGCGAAGACGTCATGGAGCTAGAACTACGCTGTTGTGACGGACGTGAGCAGCCGCTTCAAACTTGTTTGTAACACCGATGCACCACAATTGCACCCTGCACCAAGAAGCTGCAACATGGCAAACTTGTTCGTTGAGTGGGATCGAGCGTGTTCCGTCAACCCATCCATTTTCCCAACATCGCTGGCTAACTTTGCGCGCGACACTATGCCACTTAGCACATATTTTGGAGAGAGCTCAAGCCCGAGGCCTGCATGTTCATTGCATTGTCAAGCAGGTGCTTGTTTTTTTTTTTTCAACAGCTGAAAGCTTTGGGGTCTCAGCCCAGATAGGCTCCGGGGTGGTCCGGGGCGACCTTGAGGTAAGGTTTTACGAGGGTTCCATCAGGGTTCCACCAGGGTTCCACCAGGGTTCCACGAGGGTTCCACGAGATTCTGCGAGGGCTGCGGGGTGGTTCGAGCACTAAACAGAGCACCGCATGCTGTTGGGGATATCACCTGAGCTTATTTTTCTCTTGTGCGTGTGTGTTTGTGTTGGTGTTCTGTGTCCTGTGTAAAGGATACACTGCACCCATTTTGGGTCAAGTGGGAGAGTACGGGGGGATTGCTCATCTCCAGCGTATTTGCCCGGTGTTTGTGCATTGCACTTAGCTGAGTCCTAAGCTCACCTAGGTATCACAAGAGGCGGTAAGGCTAGATTGTTACGTCTTTGTGGAGCCGGAACGTCTTTTATCTGTTTTCCGCTGACCTGCAACCATAGTTTCCCTGCATCACAGCAACTGCAATCAGTAGCCACACTTGTGGTGATAGCTTCTCACCTTCAGCGCGCCTTCTCGCGTGTTGTTGCGTACCTGCACGTTGTCGCACTGTTCTGCCCGAGCCTTATCGGAATGTGGCCCACAAACCGGGTCCGATCCCGCGTTTTGCTCCGTTCTGCTTGGACAAATCGGGTCGGATCCTGCATTTTTGGCCCGTTCTCCTGGCACAAATCGGGTCGGATCTCGTGCGTTTGTGGTCCGAGTCACAGCGGACACCGAGTCAGGCAGCGGTTCTCCCATTCACAGCAGAAGCCGACTTCCAAGGAGGCAGACTTTGGATACATGTTGCATTTTACCAGTGACTCAATGTGAAGCAAACAATAACATATACATTCTATAACTGGTCTCCACTCCAATCATGTGAGCATAGGAAACTGTGCAGGTAGCAACGTGCTGGAACTGGTTGCCCAACTCTACTCATGTTCCAAGGAAGGGCATCGGCGTGGTGATTCTGGTGAACTCCGTGATGCTGGGCATCGAGACGGAGCTGGCCATTCAGCGCCGTGGAGAGATTTTCCGTTGCTCGCTGTTGGCTAAGTGCCCTTTTACCCCTTTTTTGGGGGGCGGGTTCCCCTAAAACCGACTACAGAAAAAAAGTTGGTACCCTTATTCTAACCTCTCTACTGGAGGACCTAGTTGGTTTTTCGTGGTTTGCGGCGCTAGTGTTCTATGCTACCTCTTGAACAGAGTCTTTCAAGAGGAGATCCCCCTGGAAATGCCGGTTTTTAGGACCAACTGGGAGTCAGCCCTTGACCACGCTGCACAAAGCTCGTCTTTGTTTGTTGTGCGTCCTCTCTTAACACGATCGGTTGCGGCCAGCTGGATCTTTGAGCTGCTTGCCCCCCATTCTACCACTGGAGTTGGAGCTCCTCGCAAAAAAGACCCGCTGAGGAACCAGCCTTCTGCCTGGTCTGGGCCCCAGATCGCGGAACTAGCGCTGAGCGCTTCGGGACTTGGAAGCGTGAGGAAGGTTGGGTCAGGCGTGAGTCAACAAGAGGATGAGAGTACGAGATTCCTTCGGTGCCGGCCGCTTTTTTGAGAACGGGAAGGCGGCATGTCTACTGTCTACCTTGATTCCCACAGGCCCTTTCAGGCTGGCGAGCCTCGGAAAACCCGACATGAGGTGGTTCAACTCTTGCTTTGGAGCTGTTCAGGGCTTTGTTGAATTTGCAGTTTCCTGCTGAGCAGGGCCAATGCCAGTGCAAGAAAATTCGAGCTTTGCTGGACTCTCATTTTTTTCCCGCGGCCTTGGTTTGCAAGCAGTTTGCTTGTTGAGTTCGGTGCAATCACTACAACTCGAGCAGCATCATCCAGCGAAATGGTCTTTCAGCCGGGAGGTGCGAGTGTCGTCCAAGGAGGCCATCGGGGTTGGTTCCAAACTTGGTTGGGATAACCAGCTGAGGTTCCTCAAGGGAGATATGAACACGACGCTTAAGTGCGTGGAGCAACTGTGGTCACGTTGGATCAACAATGGGCAACACTGGAGGAGTTGTGGTTCAAAGTTCAAGTTTTGGCGGGAACACACCGCATTGATGAGCCACATCTCACCCAACACATCTAAGACAACATTTCGACCCCCCAGCAAAGTCCTAGTGGCTTTTCTCTGATTTGTGCCCCAGTTTTGGCTTTCCACCCAGTTCTTTGGTGGGTTCTTTTTTGGTGGGTTCATTTGCGCGCGAGCCCCAGCACGACACCGGCCCAGCGCGCGCGTTTCGCGCGCTTCGCGCGCCCCGCGCGTTCCCCAGGCCCGCAGACTTGGAGACTTGGCGGGAGCGCTCGGGTGTGGCCTTTGGGCCTTCCACTTCCGACCATAGGTGTCCTTTTTAGGCTAGTTTGGTTAAAAATAGATGGGTTCCACTGGTTTAGATGGGGTTTATTCCATTGACCAGGGCCACCTAGGCTTCCGACGCCAAGAAAGCGTGTGGACAATTCTTGGCGAATGTGAGACACAATCAACAAAACGGGTAAGTGAAGGTTAAGGGACAATCCCAACCATGAAACTCGCTGACCTCCGCCTTCTTGATTGTTTACATTGTTCTGGGTCGAGCACTTTAATGCTGGGGTTTTGATTTTGACTCATGTTTGCCCCTTCGTAGTCCCCTGAAGATGAAGATGACTCCGAAAACGAGATTGCCCGAACAAACATCTCCTCTACAGGTGGGGTAGTTTGTTGCGCGTGTCAGTCTGGGGGGATCCAAGGTTGATCCCCAATACACTGAGCGAAACACACACGCACATGCACACACACACACACACCCACCTACCTACCCACCCACCTGCCCACCTACCTACTCGCCCACCTACACCCACCTGCACCGATCTACACCCACTCACACCCACACACACACACCCACCTACACGCACCCACACGCACCCACACACACGCACACGTACACACACCCGCACACACACACACAGACACACAGACACACAGACACACAGACACACAGACACACAGACGCACAGACACACAGACAGACAGACACACAGACACACAGACACACAGAGACACAGAGACACAGACACACAGACACACAGACACACAGCCACACAGCCACACACACACACACACCCACGCACAGGCACACTCACATGCTTGTGGAATCAGCCAAGCTTGTTTGGCATATTGCTGCGCGCTCGCGAGCGCGCGCCCTGTGTGTGTGTGTGTGTCATATTCCAATATAATTACCAAATTCCAGATGGTGCCAGACCGTGCCAGACCTGACAAGTTGGGGAGTAAGGAGTACATTTTCATGAGCATCTACACCACGGAGTTGATCTTGCGGCTGATGGCTTATGGCTTGGCCAAGTGCTGCGTGGACGGCTGGTTCATCTTCGACAGCCTGCTGGCCCGGGAAACGGGGGGGGGGAATGGTCGGATTTGATGTGAGCTGTGTGGGTGAGTGGGTGAGTGGGCGAAAAGTGGTCAGTTTTCTTTAGACTGTTGCTCCCGTTTTCAGTCCATTGTAGTCGATTGCTCCTGTCTACAATTTCTGCTCGACCGGCAGCACAAAGGGGAACACACCTTTGCTTGGCCTCCGCGCAGGGACCTCTTAGTCCATATCTTGAAATGAGGTTTTCCTGTGCGTGAGAAGGCAGATGGGAGCCCAATGCCTTCGTGCCCTTCGACACTCGACACCTCAGGGTTTAGATCGGGAACTCAGATGGCGATTGGGGAAGGCGCAATGCCAGGAGGGGATACCCCCCAACAAACCGGCAGTGGCGCAAGAGCGACTTCAACAAGAACCCGTCGAGGAGGCCGTTTCGTGTGGAGCCAGAAACACATGTCTGAACTTGTCAACAACAGGGCACAAAGCACCGGGAAACCAACGGAAGCCAGTTGTATTTTGCGGGGGGTTTTCCATATTCCACAGACATGGCCCATTCCAAGTACGAAAACAACCATCTGTTGGTTCCCCACGCAACAAGCTATTCTTGCAGGTGCTCAGTAGGGAATGAGGGAATCACCCCTATCAATACCATCCAACTGGTGGTTTCCTTTTGGTCCCCAGGTTCATTCCCACATTCCCTACCTCCACCAGCAACTTCTTTAGGGTACCCCTGGTTGGTTGGTTTATTACAGGGACACCAAAAGGACACAATTCTTGGGGGAGGTCCAAATCCCCGGATTTTGAGACAAACCCAAGTGCACCCGGGAACTCGGCCCCATGGCCCCATGGCCCGATGGCATCTCGGGAACTCGGCCGCAGGTCTTCGTGGCGTATGCGGGCAAGCTGCTGCCGCTGATCCTGGGCGCGGCCGGCGAAGGCGAGACACGTCCCCCAGAAAGCGCGAGCTGTGCGGAGCCCGAAACGAGCCATCCCAAGTGTTTTTTTTTTTTTTCCCCCCGAGCAGCGCGTGTGTGTGTGTGTGTGTGTTTCCAGGTTTTTTTGGGAACCCACCGATGTTTTATTTTTGAAGAAACATGAGAAGCCTGATTTTCCAAGAATATTTGAGAACGGATTTTTTCTGGCATCCGCAGTTGTCCAAAAGATGTGTGTGCAATTTCATGTTCTTTGGTGGGAGTGTAACCCTCAGTCACGCTGCTATCCACGGAGCCGACTTGGACCATCTGCGCAAGGTTAGTTTTTGTTTTTGTTTTTGTTTTTTTGTCATTTTGCTTTTGTGTGTGTACTGTAGTGGATGGCGGGGAAGATAGGTCTATCTTCAAAAAAGCCTGCCAGGTTATGCCACTTCCGTTCTGTCCTTTTGTTTCTGTTCTGTTTGCACACCCCACCTTTTGCTTCCTCCTTTGGTTCTTCAACCATCGAGTTTGGCCGTTTTTTCGCTTAAAGGAGTCCAATGGATGGCTGGTTTCCATCGGCTGGCGTCGTTTTTCGCCCAGGGGGCGTGGTGGACCAGATCATGGTGGTGCGGATGCTGCGGATCCTGCGCTTCGTGCGGGCCCTGCGGGTGATCAAGCAGTCAGGGGCCCCAGTTCACAGAGAGAGGCGGAGCGCTCAAAGAGCACTGGGTGGAAGCCTGGGCTTTTTCACGGGCAAGAGCTGCATTTAACAGGAAGCGTCTATCAGGCAACAAGAGACTTCCCTGCAAAAGAAGGCAAGGAAGATTGGGAGGGAGGCAAGAAGGCAAGGAGCGAGCGACCCGGACCAACATCGTAACCGTAGTCCACTGAGAGATCCCACACCAATCTTAACCCAATTCTAGGATTCTATGCCAAGCCTCACCTTGAACAGCCCCAAACCCACCGTGATTTACGCCTAGATCAGCTCAAAACCGACTCTTCGCCCGGCGACTCGGCAGGTTTGGCACCATTTGGAAGCTCATCCGCGGCCTGCTGACCTCCTTCGACGCGCTTCGGCTCAGCAGAGCGTGGATTGGCGTCTGGATTGTCTAACGGCTTTTGTCTTATCTGGATCCTGGAGGTTGTGAAGAAATTCAATCATGATGCTGTGGATGGACGAAATCCATTTCGCACCACCTAAGAAACCCTGGAATGATGATTTTCCTGTAAATACCAATAAACAATGGAACTTCTGGGTTTCCAAGTGGTGCAGGATTTCGTCCATCCACAGTGGTTCCTGCTCGAGTACCCTCCGAGTACCCTGCGTGCTCTTGGCACCAACTAATGTTTATGGTTTAGTATGGTTCAAAGCGCTGTTTTAAGGGAAACCAAGGGCGGGGTGTTCCCGAAAGGGAAATGACGGTTCGGGGTTCGTTTTGCTCAGGACGTGGCTGATGGACTCGCTGACCCCTGAACACTAGCTTTGGCCATGGTCAAAACAGAGACACTATTGGCAGCCATGAACCATTTTTTTGCAAAGCAACTTGGGCAGAGGCCAATCCTCAAGCCATGTGCAGATCAGACCCCTTCCATTGCAGACATTGACCCGAATCTACTCAGGCAGTTTGAGAGATCCGAAACGCGACGATTCACAAGTCAGCGCCCCGGGCGATAAGCCTGACATTCCTCTCCTTGCCATAGGTGTAGATGGCCCCATGTGGCTGGTTCAAAACCAATGGTGCCATGTTGGGATAAGTGAATTCACCACCCATTTTAGAACCTATTTTTTTAGTGGTTGGATTGAATCGGATGTTCACTGGGGTTTCCATGGGTGTTGACCCATGTACCAGGGGTGTTCCATCTATTGTATCAAAAGGACACCTAAGCTCCTTGCAGCTCAAGGTTCACTCAGTCTTCGCCCCCCCAAAGAAGGGGCTCCGTGCGCAATTTCCGCCCAGGTGATGGCGTCCGCCTTCGTCTTGGCCGCTCGGCGAGCGAGCGCGCGCTAGCAAGGCCACGCGAGACTTCTCGCGCTTGGAGCCGGCAGGGGCGGATCTCGGCAAAGGGAGGTGCTGCCTGGAGGTTGGAAGGTCCAAATTGGATGTTATCTCAGCAAATGGATGTTATCTCAGTTGCCTGGATGTTGGAAACCAATATTTTGGTGTTGGAAGGGAAACCACTATTTTGGAGGGTCCAAGTCCCAAACCAAAGCGCCCAGCTCAATTGACTTTTCCAGTCGCTGGTCAGCTGGGGGATATATGTGTTGCACCACCCCCCCCCCCCGCCCGTGGAAGAAATCTGAGAAGTCCCTAGGTCATACTGATGCTCTACATCTTCGCATGCTTGGGGCCACTCAGCCGCCTGGGACTTCTGGATCTGAGTTTGCTCAGGCTCATAGGCGCACATGCGTGAGACGCGAGACGCGAAAGATATTTGTCCCTGACGTGCGAATGTGCGAAGAGAGAGAGTTGCCAGAAAGCAATGGGTATGGGTCAAAATCGAAATCGGTGGTTCGATGTCCCTTGCATGTCGACGCAGATGAGGATCGGGTTCTTTTCTGTTGGGCCCAGGATGGAGCTGATCGGCGGAGATGAGGAGCTCAAGAACAATCCGGCCCGGGTGCTCAGACCTTCTCCATTCTCTGGCTTTGGCGCGTGATTCAACATCACCAATCAGCGAGCTTGCCAGCATGCAAAGACAGTGGGGCATTGATTCTTGACTGCTATTGGGTTGGATCTTTAGGCTTTCACTTTTTGGGAAATAAAGGTGTTTTCCACTGAACCCCCAGAAAGTTTTCCGCTTTTTGTATGGGGGTCAACAGCAGAGCAGGATTCTGCTTTCCGGTTCGGCTATGGGGCTTGGACCGTCTCACACGCGGCTCACACGGGTCACGAGATCTCGATTGCTGTAGTAGGGGAGTCATTGCGCAACTCGTTGAGCCCCAATTGTAGTTCATGTTTCATTGGGTTGCGTCCCGCATGGCATTGCTATGTCGACACATCGTTGTACAAGATCCTCCAGCCATGACCAGAAAGTGCCCGGGCAACCGGAATTCAATATGTTTGCTGGCACCCCGAGAAGAGACACATGTGGGTGTGGCTCAAAATTAAAGAGCTAGGGTTACGCAGGTTTCAGTCTTTGGTTCCATTTACCAAGTGCCATTTTTGTGCAATCATTTGAGCCACGCCCATTTCTTACCCATTGGTGACATTCTGACTCAACTTCACCGATGTTTCGCTTTGTACCTCATCTGAATTTTGGACCACTCCTGCCGTGGACTCCTGCCTCTTTGGCTCCCGTGAACCACCCCCCTGGTACACACAAGTCCTGAGTTCATGGACTTCAATTTGTGTGGGAAGACCATTTTAGTGGAACACAAGTACATTTGGGGCCATCCACTCAAGTGAGATGTGAAGAACCGGTTTTATTGATCTATCCACCCCGCTCCACAGCCCCAGCCTCCCCCACCCCCAGCCTCACCCCGGCCCCGGATCCCGGGACCCCGGCCCAGGCGACGCAGCTCTTCGCCACCGAGAGCTTCTCCTCGGTGTGGCAGTCCATCATGCCGCGCCCCAAGAGCGCAATCGCGGCGCAATCGACATCGGCGCGAAAGAAACCGCATTTCTTTGTGACGGTGGACCCGAAAAATGCATCGGTGGTTTTGGTTATTTTTTGGTTTTTCACGCGCACGGTTGGAAGTGGAAACCGTGGTAAAGAGAAGAAAGTTAATTTCATAGCACGGCTAAGGAAACCATGGGAAAAGAGAAGAAACCCAGAAGGATTAAGTTGGTATTTTGGTTGGGGAATCGATTGATTCCGTTAGATTCCTTCGGTGGTGCCGAACTGGACTTCGCAAACATACAGCTGAAATCTGCTTGAGGCGCGCCCACAGGCTGTTGGCGCCTCTGGGCCGGGGAAGTGAAGCTAGGTTGTCCTCGGATTCATCCAACAGACCCTGGTCAAAAAGATGAGAACCGCCGCCAAGTCGTACGGTCCGGCGGTTTTATTTATTCGCTTTTTCTTAACCAACCATGTTGCTTCAGCAATTCGGAGCATGCCGGAAGTTCGCGTCTGTAGTCCCTGAGCGGTCAATTCCATATGTTGCCCAAGTGAAAGCTGTACGTGGAGCAATTACTTGGCTGTTGGCAAATGAGTTCATAGGTTGAGGCTTCCCCAAACATTGGACGTTTCAAAGGCTAACATGGCAAATAGCAGAAAAAGTTAGGGCGTCGTACACGTCAGGACAGCTTCCAATTCATTTAAGCTTCTGTGTTTCAAGGGAGCATCGCTATCCGTTCTGAAAGAAGACTGATGTCCCAGTAGGAGCGAAATGATTTAACCATGGTCAAGGAGGTGACCACAAACACACTGACAGGGCGTGCCTTGAGTTGGTCGCGTGACCCGGCTTTTCCAGTTGAGTACATCAAGCGGGTGTGCGTCAAACATGGGTACCCAAAATTGGTTGCCCCTTGTAAATTTTAAATGGAAAGGACATTAACCTGCGGATTTCCCCCCGGTTGCATTTTGACCCATACCCAAATAGAAACTCGATCGAGCATGTAGCCAACTTTCAATGCCCATGGCTGCAGTTCAATTGGAAGGGGCCGCTGGATTGCCTCTCAAGAATCACAGCCTCGAACAACCTCAAAGAAACAGGCAAGGCGCCTTGCACATGAACATCAATTGGACCAGTTCTCTGAATGCTCCCCACTAACATGGATGCCTGGAGAAGGCTCCAGGAGTTTTCGTGTGAAGCGATGGGGGTGCATGCATAGGGTCATCTAGACGAAAAAAAGACGCGAGTTTGGCCTGAGCTGAGGGAAATTCCGGTCCGGAATGCTGTACATGACGAATCTAGACGTGCTGAGTTTGGCCTGAGCTGAGGCAACACCCGGACCGGAATGCTGTACATGTTGACCAACATGTTAATCGCTTTGCCGCAAGCCAACTCTCCCCTGCCAAGGACCTTGTTCCAGCCACCTGGCAGAAATTCGACAGAGCTTTTGCAGGGTCACATGGAACAGGCGCAGGGACAGGCGCAGGACTGGACGAATGGCAAATATATGGGGGTTGATTAGTATTTCTTGGCCCCAAAACGACCATGGCGAACTCTCCCATTTGGTGAGAGTCAGTTTCTGCCCCAATGGTCACCCCATGTAAAGGACCTTGTATAGTTTGGGCACGCGGGCTCACAATTTCCACAGTGGACTGGGCAACTGTGCGTTTGCATCCTTTCGAAATTCGCCATGTGGGGGGGTCCGAATGAGCGCATCCTTCCACAAGACCGGAGAAAGGAGAACTCAGTTGCGTCCCAGTGAGGGCAATGGATGGACCTGCCCTCTTGACATCGTACGGTCTCTGGAAAACCGTTTTTTGTAACGGGAACACGTAGAGACATCTGGAAAACCGTTTTTTGTAACGGGAGCACCTAGAGGTTGGGGGAGTCTGGTCGGCCGGAAGTGGATTCGATGCTCTGCTGGCAACTTTCGAGTGGGGCTGGTTGCAAGCAATAGGCAATGCATACTTTTAGCCCAGTAAAACAATCTTTAATGAGGCCATGTTTCAGATGTGGAGATGTATCCCAGACCTTGGCTGATGGAAAGATTTTGAGTCTGAGCTATCTAGAGAACCAAAGGCCATGCTCATGCATAAATTCTCAGCATCACCTTTCACCACACCAACAGTCTTGGACTGGCATAGTTCCCGTGTTTTGCGACCTGAGCACTTGCCGGTGTCGGGCGATTGGGTGCGAGGTTTGTGACCCTGGACTCGACCCCGGCCATCTACGTGGCTTGGCTTTGGCATACCGAACGAACGCACGAAGGAACTCCCATCTTCGCGCGTGATGTTTTTTGGTGCAAGGCAGTGCTTGGCAGCAGACCAAGGTTCCTTGAAGAGGTGAACACGAATTAGTTGACATGGTTTGGTTTTGCGAGTTCATAATGTTACGAACTGCTCCACTCATTATCTGCGCTTCATTATCGGCGACACAGTCAAACGCCGGCCGGGGCGAAGGGGAACGCTTCTTTGTTTGGGTTGGGTCCTCCATAGCTGAGATGGATTCGCTGTGCCCGTGGATCAGTACTTTGTCCCAGAATCCCATGTTTTCGGGGGGAGGTGGCGGCTCTGTGGATTCATAGGTGGGAACCTCTCTGGTTGCGCCCCACGTCTCAAGCAAACGCCTTCTATGGGTGATTTGGCTGTGCGTGTTCAATCGCTTATAGGTTGCACCGTCCAAGGTCTTTCTTAAATCCCATGGTTGTCACACTGTGGATGGACGAAATCCTGCACCACTTTGCAATCGTGGAACACCAGTGTTTGTTGGTAGAAAACAGGGGCATCATGATTCCAGGCTTTCTGAACGGTGGTGCCTAAGAGGAAGATGGCAACCATCCACAGCAGAAAGAGCCCTTCCGCCTCCAAAGCCAGGGATGGCTTACTTGGGAGCACACCCTCATCCACCCACTGCTCAAGGGTCTGTTGCCCTTCAGACCCCCCCTTAGGCCTTGATCGGGGAGTCGCAAAGAACCCGACAGGTGCCTCTGATCAACGCCAAGCCCATCTTGGGCGCGTACTTCCTGGTTTTGCTGCTGGCAGTAGGCGGGAAACGGGACGAACCCTAAACTCACCCTTTACCAACCCGAATCCACCATATACCAGCACCAAACCATCCCAAATCCACCCCCGAACTTGCCCTAAACAGGCCTTGAACCAACCTTGCACCCGCCCTGCTGTAAAATGCAAGACTTCAGCACTGGGAGTGAAAACGAACAAATCCCGGAAAAAAACAACAACAAAAACACGCATGCCTGGATTGAAGCTGGACCCGTTGGAAAACGAGGTCCATGAGTTCAGGCGCAGGGTCGGAGAAGAGGCGGGAACACCCGACCCATGTATAGCTTAGAACGCATATGTTGCATTTTAATGCAACACCCGGACACCGTGATAATACTTGTTTGACATGCTTAAAATGTGTCTTCATCAATAGACACCCTATATATTTGACACATGTTACGAGTTTATGGCGTACATTGCAATCATTCGAAGAAGAAGCACCGACATGTGAGCCATATTCAACTAAAAGCCATGGCCAACGTGTAAGTTGGACACCAAGCTTCCGGCTTTTATGGCTGCTCAGAGTCGCAGACTCGCTCGCGGTGAGGCATCACGCTGATGAACTTGGTCACTGCCTCCATCGTGGAGGCATCGCTGCAGAGTTCAGAGCTGGACAGGCAGGAGAAGAAGGAGCATGGGGCAGTGCAGCGCGCGGAGACGGAGCAAAAGGGGAAAAGGCGATGCAGCCGAGGGGCCTTTTTGGGAGGCTTGGAGAAGCAGCCTGCTGCATTTGTTTCTTAATGTTAGCCCCGGATTAATAAACTCCTTGATTAATAGGGGGGTGTCCCCTTTTAGTGGGGATTCATCACAGTTGGAGGGAACACCCCCCCTATAATGGGACGGGTTTATTAATCCTGGGTCAACATTATTTGTTTTGGCCAGAACTCCTTGCTCTGCTTTGTTTTGTTATGCTTTGCTTCAAGCGGCGTGTCTTATCTGCTTGCAGGAACTGCCTGCACGCTTTGACCAGGCTGCCTTTGCCTTTTGATATGGGTTGAGTCGAAAGCGATGTCCTGTTCACTCTCCCAGATGGATGTTTCAATCAGCCCCTCGTTGATGGCAAGACAAGTTGAAAGGTGCTGAGCGTTGCATTTGCATGAATGCATATTTGGACTTGGGAAGGCTGGAATCCTGCTGATTCAGGAGGCATTCTGATACGCACCCCTGCCATCGCATCAATGATGATGTCAATCGACCCGGAAGTGCACAACAGGAATGCTGCCTCAATCGGCAGTTGTCTTCCAACAAAAAAAGCTACAAACATGGCACCTTGGTAAATGGAACCAAAGACTAAGACCTGCGGCATCATAGCTCTTTAATTTTGAATCACACCCAGTTGTCTTCCAACAGGGCATGAACTTTCATGACTCACTGTGACGTCCCTGCTGTTCAAGACTGAGGACGATTGTTTGACATGAGTCCTTGTTCCATCCGTTTCCCTGTTCAGGAAGGGGTGGACATGACTTCCCCCGTAACCTCCACATGTACCATGTTGAACAACCGGGCGGTCCCCGCAAGGAGACCGTGCACACAGATAAACATCTTTCTTGCAGGAGCGCTTGAAGCAGGAGATGGTGAAGTCGATCCCGGCCGCGCGGCCCCCCTTCTATTGGGGGTCCCATGGGTTTGTTGGGCTGGATTTCTCCGGTTTGGGTCTCGTTTTTTTCCTTCTTTTTTTTTTTTTCCCTTTGCGACCTCGCCGATGAGGGTTTCTTTCTTGCGGGTGCATGGTTTCCAGCCCGAAGCATGATTCACCCATTTGGCTGGCCAAGCCACATGAACACTAGCGGCATCCCTTCAAACAGTTAATGAGTTAATGGATCAGATATGACATGTGAAGTTGCGGGGGCTGTCACTGACGAGACATGGAGCCCGGGTCTTGGACAAGCTTCAATTTTGTGCACGCACAGTGCCCCATAGCCCGCCGAACTCTAAGTCTATGGCGTTTTGGCACGTCGCTTGGTTTACTTGAAGATAGGCCGAACTCTTTGAGCTGTGGAGATCCCAGCATTGAAAACTAGGGATGTGTCGGATCCCTCTTTCCTTTTGAACCACCCGCATGGGAAATGCGGGGGAGTCGGGGAGGGGGCATCTTCCGTGTGTTGGCTGAACGGTAAACAGGGTAAACCGGATCCGCTTCCTGGGGGCTTTTGACGGCCCCTGAAAAGATTCGGATCCCTGGGTTCAGACTGGAAATGGAAGGTACCCCTAGTCCAACACACGGCCCAAACGGAGACCCCAACAAAGCGGCCCATGAAGTTGAAGCGTGGTTTCAGGGTGAGTCGGAGAGCCTCAAGCACAAAGTACCAGGAACCGGTTGTGGCGGGCATTTGCAAGCGCTGTTGCAGTGATCATGATTCTGCTATATATGTTTTCGTGCTTTCTGACGGTCGTCCATAGTCTGGTGGATTGCAGAAGCCTGTGCAGATCATCTCTCGGTTTACTTTTCGCTGTGCTGTGTTCCTATCGAAAAGGGACTCACGTCGTTCTCACCGATAGGGAAAAGGCCGCCCCCCTTTGAGCGCCACCCTGCCCGAGTCCACGAGGGCTTCCAACGAATACAACCATTGAAAAGAAGGATGGTTGAAAAGCATGGACAAGGAATCAACCCCTAGAACAGTTGGACCAACCCCTACCTGGGAAGTTCACCCGTCTCCAAAGTTAGGACTCGGGCATGGAACGAGCGAGGTATTCGGCCAAACTCGGAAGCGGTCCTTTGGTTGCCCTATGAAGCACTTCCAAACAGGGCACTCTCAAAATGGACAGGCCCGTGTATTGTCAAGGCGAGCCTTGTGATGAACTAGTTGTAGCGAGCTCGAGGTAAAAATGAGCTCTGGTTTCATGATGGTGCCTTCAGATATTCCTCAATTTAGACCGCTTCCATTTGCTTAATCATGTGGCCATGAATTTAAATTGGAACCTACCTCAAAACTGATAGGTGAGCATAAATCCCCACCTACCTGATGTCCACCATTTCGCTTCCCTTAGCAACAATCATACCCTTTTGTTGTTATTTCCCCGGTGGGTTTTAAAGGGGGCTTAATAGCACATGGCACATGGAAGTTCGGTCAGTTCTGATGAGTGAGCTCTTCATTTCCGTTCGCAAGTCGTCGGATTGTGAGATCCTCATGAAGCTGTTCCACGAGCTGGACGTGGACAAGAGCGGCAAGGCCGGACAGTCAAACAGTTGGATCCCACCGCCAAAACCTGATCTTCCAGTTGATGAAGAGTACTTTGTATTTTCCCCTGTTGGTTTTAAACGGAAATTGTCACTACTGGACAGATCTGTTTTTTTTTTTTGCATGGGACTTCAGCAAATGGAAGTGGCATGTCCCTTTAAAAGGAAAAATCGGTCCAAACCAGGACATCCCTTTACGTCAGGTTTCATGCTGGGAGGGTAGCTTCTCGGTGTTTCCAGGTTCCGGGCTGCGGCCTGAAACAATGAACGCTGAATCCGAGGTAAAAAAAACAGGCCCCGCGAAGCTTGGAGGCGGCCCCAAGTTGGAGGCGGCTTTCCAAAAATTGCAGGGGTCCCTATATTTTCCCACTTGGGGGCTTTAAACATCACCTGTTTGGCCCATGAAAGGTGAGTCTATTTGATCTATAGGCAGTAGTTATATAACCTGGAAGCAGGATGCTCCTTCGGGTGTTGGGCTGTGTGCCTTGCCCCTTGTTTTGGTACTTCCCAGTCCTTTTAGGCGGTTTTTGGTCGCTTCGGCTGTATTGGTGCTCGATTTTCCCCAACGATCCCCGATCCTGCTGCTTGCACCAGATCTCACTGGACGAAGTGGAGCACTTTGACATCAACTGCTTGCCGCCGTGCCGCGGCTTCGTTGGAGATTCTCTCTCTTTTCTTTGGCGCATTTTTTTGCTTGGAAGTTAGGACTTTAACTGTTTGCCAACTAATGGGTTTTCCATTTAACCACTAAAAGTCAGTCACTTTAGCAGGGGAGCAGAAAGCAACCGAGTTTTAGCAAGCTTTGCTTTGTCATGGCGTATTTCCAAGTGGACCAACAACTTGCTGGTGCTCAGCAGCTAGGGAAGCTAGGGAATGAGGGAAGGACCCTAAAGACCATTCCATGTGGTTTCCGTTACGTGGATTCCTCGGTTCGTTCCCTCATTCCCTACTGAGCACCAGCAAGACAAGTTTCCGTCGCTGTGACAAATATCCATAATCTAGCAAGTGGACCAAGCCCATCCACAGTCTCATAGTTTTTGTTGTTGTTTTTTTGTCTTGACACACGCCCCGGGCACTTCGTGCGTTGACTGGCCCTTCGCCATCGGGTTTGTGAAAACTCTTTTTGGGCCGCCTGGCCGCCTTCGGGAAGGGGACTGGGGACTGCATCATAAGTCACCGAAGTCACCACGAAATCACCGAAAAGTCACGCAACAAAATGAATGAATCAAATCACCCACGAAAGCCCGAATCGCCCAGAACTCAACCCTCCAGGGTGCTGCGTGACAACATCAGCGTGGACAACATGGCGGACCTCTTTGGAGTGCTGGACGTGGAGTCAGGCGGAGTCAAGCGCCAAGTGCCTTCGGTCGAAGGGTTTTTGTGAGTCAAAAAACAGCAAGCAAAGAAGCGGAGTACATGAAATGGGTTCATGGGGTATTTCCACCAAGGAAATGGGTTTGTCTTCAAATCTTGGTTGCGGTTTTGCTCCCCTTCCAACGTCAACCAAGAGTAGGGTTCATACTTTATAAGGGTGGGTCTCTTGTTAAAAAACCACCCCTTTCCCCCCCCCCCCCCAAAAAGAAAGAAAGAAAAAGAAGAGGTGGTCTTCCTTCTTTGATTCCTCTTTGGGATCCAACCAAAAGGGGGTCCGCTAGAAGACGAGTGATGTTTCCGACCAAGGGTTTACCCCCCCCAACCCCAAGCCCCATATCCCCTACGGCGGATTTCCTTTTGGTTCCCCTGAAAAACCCAACCAAAAGGGGGGTCCCGAAAACAAAGACACACCCATTTGGCTGTGGCTCAAAAAACCGGTACCAAAATGGACCCTGGTAAGTGGAAACATGGACCAAATCCTGCGTTTGAAAAACCCAACCAAAAGGGGGTCCCTAAAAAACAAACAAACAAACAAACAAAACAACAACACCAACCAAAAGGGGGGGTCCCTAAAAACACACACACACACACACACACACACACACACACACACACACACACACACACACACACACACACACACACACACACACACACACACACACACACACACACACACACACACACACACACACACACACACACACACACACACACACACACACACACACACACACACACACACACACACACACACACACACACACACACACACACACACACACACACACACACACACACACACACACACACACACACACACACACACACACACACACACACACACACACACACACACACACACACACACACACACACACACACACACACACACACACACACACACACACACACACACACACACACACACACACACACACACACACACACACACACACACACACACACACACACACACACACACACACACACACACACACACACACACACACACACACACACACACACACACACACACACACACACACACACACACACACACACACACACACACACACACACACACACACACACACACACACACACACACACACACACACACACACACACACACACACACACACACACACACACACACACACACACACACACACACACACACACACACACACACACACACACACACACACACACACACACACACACACACACACACACACACACACACACACACACACACACACACACACACACACACACACACACACACACACACACACACACACACACACACACACACACACACACACACACACACACACACACACACACACACACACACACACACACACACACACACACACACACACACACACACACACACACACACACACACACACACACACACACACACACACACACACACACACACACACACACACACACACACACACACACACACACACACACACACACACACACACACACACACACACACACACACACACACACACACACACACACACACACACACACACACACACACACACACACACACACACACACACCCATTTGCGGGTGATCATTTTTGCCTTTTTGAGCCCTTGCGCCTTGCCAGCTGGCGAGCTGGACATGAAGGAGTTCATCGGAGGCCTGCTGCAGCTGTGGCTGATGGATGTGCCCTCGGCATGGTTGGCGCAAAACAGGCCCCAGGCAACAGGTAAGTGAACTCACCCATTTTTGGCTCACCATCTTTACCTTGGGTTTACCTTAGCATCTGAAGTTGTCATTGACACAGGGCTCCTCAAAATGTACAACCATTTGAAACATGTGGCTTTTTCCTCCACGCCAAAATAAAGGGAAAACACCATTTACAAGTTGCAATGTTCAGGTGTATAATGCATCCGGATCCCTGTGCAACCGATGGGCAGGGTTTCCGAGCCAAGTCCCTTCTTGGAAACTCCAAAAAGTAGAAAGTGGCAGTTTCAAGGGAAGCCACCAGTAGATTGATCAACGCTTGGAAGGGGAAATCCAGTGACCCCTGACGGAGAATTCTTGCATGAACATGTTCGCACTTCAAGTTGCGCAAGTCGCATATTTTGCAGAGCAGAAGCATGTTGCTGTAAATGTCAGAACGCTGCTGCATGACTTGGGTTTGTCAGATGCGTGCACACATGCATACGCTCACGCACACACATAACGTGCGCGCGCGCACGCGCACGCACCCGCTCGCACGCTCGAGCCGCCGCGCGCGCGCGCGCCCGCTCGAGTGCCCGCTCGCGTGCCTGCACCGGCACATGCACCCGCACCCGCACAGGCCACGCACGCACATGCCAACATGTACGCTGGACATGGGGCAACCACTTTATGATTTTGTCTACATGCTTGAGCTGATGTTCTTGCCGGCAAATGCTAGCGAAGCGCAGCGGGTTGACAGCAACACCGCAGCAGTTCTGAGCAATGTCATATCATATTTCAGCGCTCAGCCACAGGGCTTAAGTGTTTGTCAAGAGCGTCATAATTGACCTGGCGCCAATTCGTTGAACCAAATGTCACGGAGCGCGCTTGACCATGTCGTTTGATTTTGGGTTGGGCAGGGATCAGCATTTGGGGGTTGATCAATATTCCTGGCCACCAGTTTTGACCATGGGTAACTTTCCCATTTAGTGGTTGAGAAATGAAAAATCGTAGTGGTTTTCCAAGCAATGGTCATCCCATGTATCTTGGTGGCTCCCAGCCATCCTCTTAGCTTTTTAGCTTTTTAGAGTCTGGTGGAGATTTCCATTTAACCCACTAAAAGTTAAACTTTTTAGCGGAAGATCTGAGGACAGCCCATGTATCACGGACCTTTTCATGACCCCCCGTTTGAACCAATCCGATTGGCGGCTCTTTGACACTCAAGACTTCAGGTGCCGATTACGACTCTGCAGATCCTGCCACTTGGCCAGCATGAAGGGTCGGAGGGTGCAAAATGCTCAAAGGATGCAACACCTTTGCATGGTAGTATCCCTACCCCTTAAAAATGGAATTGGGGGAGGGGGGCAACCCCTGGAGATCTCCATTTGTGGTTCCATTTTCCGTTTTTTCATGGGAAGACTAGAGGAATGAAATTGGGAACCCCCATCCCCCTCCCCCAGAAGGTAGGGGGGATATGGTAGTTGTGTCCTTCGGCGCAAGAACAAGAGGGGGCCCAAATCAGTTTCTAGCTCGAAACCCTGGCTCCTGCCCCAGTCATCAGTTGCGGAGCCGGTTACGCTTGATGGCACGGGGCACTGGACCATGTTCCGAAGACATGCTGGCATGGACTGTGCAGAACCATCATCTGCCAACGACTGCTATATATATATATGTATATATGTATATATGTATATATATATATATATATTTTTACAGGGTGTGCACAGGCTTCTCCAACATGCCGCATGCTTCAAGCAATACAGTGAATGTGTGCGGGCGTGCATTCGTGCGTACGTGCGTGCGTGCGTGTATGTGTGAAGTGTGCGCGGGCGGTGCGTGGACAGAGGAGAGAGCTACAGATAGCATACACTGAGGGATGTATTTGTAGGAGTCGTTCTCTGTTTGCATGTGTGTTTGAGCCGTGACGCAATACAAATGCCACACCTATGGTGATGTGTTTCCAGGGGCTCCTTTTTAGAATCATGTGCTTCCTAGCCAATGAGTCAACCACTATCTCAGTGGTTCAGTGGCACCATTTTTACTTTTTTTGGTGGCTGTCCCATTAAAAATGGTCTTCCCCATTTTTTTCCAGGGTCACTGAGCAACTGAGATATGTTACCAATACTGTGGATGGACAAAATCCTGCACCACCTAAGAGCCCTGGCATGATGATTCCCCTGTAAATACCAACCGACCATGGTTTGTCATGGTTTCAAAGTGGTGCGAACGGATTTCGTCCCTCCACAGTATGTCACGAAAAGCTGTCAAACAGTTTCACGACTTGAGCTTGCCACGGACGATCCTTCGGCCTTTCGCGACTTGTGTTGGTCTCAACCTACCCCGAACTGCGACCCGCTCGGTCAGGGTGGCCTGCGTGTCTTAGGGTGGTTTCGGGTTCTGGGGGGGTGTAGTCTAGGGCTTTTAAGGTCTTAGGCCATGGGAATCTCTGGGACATCGACACTCCTTAGGGGGCGCCACAGTAAGCCATGCAAACATATGGCTGTGGGTCAAAACCAATGGGATCCCATTTTGGTTAGCAGGTGAATTCACCCATTTTAGAACCTATTTTCGTGGTTGGATTGAATCGGATGTCCACTGGGGGCTAACCAATTTGGATTTTGACCCATGGCCATATGTGAAGCAGCTGCCAGCTGCCCCCACCTGTTTCCGATTTCCCGCGAGGAAGTTCAGCAGGATGAATCGGGCGCAGCTTGGTGCAGAGTTCCAGACCGCTGGATCCGTAGAAGTGGCTTTTTTTTTAAAGGGGGGGGGGGGACATGTCAAGTCAACTGTACCTTTGCAAGGATCTCAAGAGTTTGTTTCAGTGTGTCACTTTATGCGCGGACTGCTATGGGGGACTGCAAATTGTGAGAATTCACATCAGAAACTCAGGCACTCGTCAAAGGGATCTTCGATATGTCATGTTCTTGTCCCTAATCGTCGGCATGACGGGAGAACACGCTTTTTCGAGATGATGGTGTGGCCCCGCAAGGAGGCTTCTCTTTCTCCAACTCCTCTAATGCACGGCGGATCTGCTGGCCGAGCAAATGTTCACATTGGGTTTGCATTGTCCATGGAGTCCATGGACGGGTACAGGGGTACAAGGATCCTTCTTGCTTTGCGCTGGGTGGCAACAGTGCGGTTCTATCAGTTGGAAGGCGATGGAGCCAGGTAGGCAACATGATTGTGTCGGAACTTTCAATGGCAATTCATGTTTGAGTGTCTGCAATGCGCGAATGGAGCGAATTCAGAGTGTCAGAGGAGAGCGATGAGGCACCAAAGGCGAGCTCGGCTAAGACGGCATGGGCCGATGTGGGCACTACATCAACAGGCATACTGAGCAGCATGTGTACTTTGGGACGCCTTTTCTGCAGCACCTCACCTGTCCTCTTGGAGCCAACTAACTAGTAAGAGGGAAATGCAAGAGGGAAATTCGAGACACACACACACAAAGACAGACACGCACACACACAAGCACACACACAGAAAAAAAAAACACACACACACACACAAACACACAAACACAAACACAAACACAAACACACACACACACACACATAAGCACAAACTCAAACACAAACACAAAAGCGCGCACACACACACACACAAAGTCACAAACACATAGAAACACAAACGCACAATCACAAGCAAGCAAACACAAGCACAGAAACAAACAAACGCACAAGCACAGGCACAGGCACAGGCACAAGAACAAGCGCAAGCACAAGCACACAAAAACACACACACACACACACACAAAACACACTCACAATCACAATCACAATCAGACACACACACACAGAAACACAAGCACACAATCACAAACACACACACACACAGAAACACAAACACACCATCACAAGCACACAAGCACGAACACAGAAACAAACAGACACACAAGCACAGGCACAGGCACAAGAACAATCACAAGCACAAACAGGAACACACACACACACAAACAGAAACACACACACAAACAGAAACACACACACACACAAACGCAAACGCAAACGCAATCACAATCACAAACACACACACACACAAAAAAAAAAAAAACAAAGACGATCACAAACACAAATGCAAACGCAATCACACACACAAACACACACACACACACACAAAGACAAAGACAGGCACAAACGCAAAGGCAAACACAAACACTAACACAGCCACAAACGCAAACACAAACACAAGCACAATCACGGAAACATTCACAAACACAGAAGCACAGAAACACACAATCACAAACACAGAAACACAGAAACACAAACACAGAAGCAGAAACACAAACACAACCACAAACACAACCACAAACACAACCACACACACACAACCACAAACACACAGGCACACACACTCAAACACACACAAGCAAAGACACAAACACGCATGTACTGAGGAAGACAATGGACTTCTTCACCACGATCATGCAGAGGACCGGGGAACGGGTTGGGTTTTCCTTTGCACCGTTTTCCTAGTTATTGAAATCAATCATAATCAGGGTTGTGGGATGGGGGTTTATCCCCACTTCGGTGACACAAGGAAAGCTCCCGCTTATGGGGGCTTAGTCTTAAGCCCTGTCTGTGGTATCATGGATTCCATTCCCACAGCCCTGAATTGCGAAGCTCTCATAGAGTGTGTCCCTTTGTGCCAAGAGTCGGCATCGGAGTCTTCGGGTTACGTTTTCCGATTTCCAGTGGCGTTGGCCTTCTCCGTTTCCCCTGAAAAGCCGAAGCGTTTTTCGCCCACTGGGGAAGCACGAGGGGCTTTTGGGCAGTCTGAAATGCAGTGTTCGGTTCTGTTGGATCGCGTCAGATCTCGGATGGCCGCGTGATTTTCAGGGGACCATCCCGACAGTCACGGAGTTCTGACAGCGCATGAGCTCGTAGCGGCTTGTCGACCTCAGATTTCCCGACCAGAATTCCAGAGATGTGAGCTGCAGAGCATGCGGTGCTTGCGGTGCTGGCGGTGCTTGGCCGTTTCTCCCGGTTCGCTGCTATAGAGCTGCAACTTGCACGATGGCTTTGGTGATGGGAAGGGAGGAATCCTGAACTTGGAGGTACCCTCCCCGAGGCTAACATGGAAGCTCCCAGGACCCCTTTGGAAGACTTGGTTCCATTTACAGAGGCCTTCTGGCAGCTTCCATGTTAGTCTGAGGGAGTGTATTGTGGCCTTCTTGGCTTCTGGCACCGAGCGGCTAGCACCATGGGCTGGTGTCTACCCAGAATCCCCCTAGGCTTTAACGAACAGAACTTCGAATCCGCTGCTAGAATTGGGTTTCGAGCCAAGAGTCAAAGCAAAGCTTCTCGGTTCAGCACCCGACCCAGCTGCTCAAATCCTCAAGCCTGAGACCCAATAGCTGAAAATCTAAGATGTCACATCCAGCGGCCTTTCATGCCCGCGAAATGCTGCCGCTCATGGTAGAGATGCCATAGGCGCCGGGCATACCTTCCATGGGTCACTTCGGTTGCTGTTATATTAGCTTTCACGGCTGTTGGCGTGCGGTTCTCTGCTCGCCATTTTTGGGAGGTTCGCTTACCTGTTTGGTAGAGACATTCTTTTCCTTGCGAAACCGAGAGGTTCTCGTTGAAGTGTGGGGCCGGGACGCACAGGTCGCTTTGCCGCATCACCTCTTCAGAGCTTTTCTCTTCTTTTTTCTTGGTGGCTTCCAGCCATCCACTTAGGTCGTTTCCATTTCACCCACTCAAAGTTCGCCACTTTTCGCGGGGGATCCCACAACGGGCAGCCCGGGTTTTTTCTTTGGGCCTTCCAGGATCGGCGAGATAGCTGGACAAGTGGAGGTGCTCTCCCAGGATCTGAGCAAGACCCAGCTGCATGACACGAGGCGCGGGGTAAGGTCCCGGGGCCTGCTGGCACGCGTCTCGCGCAGGGCTTGATCTTGAATGCGCCCGGTGGAAAGATGGTGATGCCATCCTCCACAAACACCTTTGTCCGCGACGGGATTAACACACTACCCTCCGTCGCACTACTGGGAATATGACGGTATTTGGAAGATTAATTTCCCTTTGAAGGGACCCTGTGTCAGGTGTCATTTTAGTGGGAGGGAGGGTAGCAGTGTTTCTTTCCCCATTGAAATTTAGGAACTCTTGGTGGACAGTCATTACTCTTCTGCGGAGAGCTCGCAGGAGTTGCCGGTCTCGGGGAAGGTTTGTTTGGTTGAGTTACAATTGTTTCAAGGTGCAGTTTGAAGGATGGACGCCTCCCTGAAGCACTTTGGGCCGGGCGATCTGGTATTGAGCGCCAAGCATCACCTCGCCGAGCCCGGCAACTCCCCGCCTCAGAATGGGCCTGGAAATGGTTTTCTGGGCACTGCTCTGTGGCTGCGCGCCTTTTTGCGGGGAGTACGTCAAGTTTGTTCGCGGGGTTCGTGTCTGGGTGTCCACTCGAGTCGAGTCGAGAACAGAGTGCAGCAGATTCCTCTGGGCACAAACGGCTGAGCTCTTCGGGGCCCTGTCTGGTGGGTGCTTTAAAAGGAAGTGAAGATATGAAGATATGTCCCCGAGCAGACGATGCGATGCCGTGTTTGCGGATGAGCGTGGCAGACGAGGACAAAGACTAGGACTCCTGCCTGCCTTCTGTCAGGTACACCTTGATGGGTGGTTTGGATCTTGGGCTGGTTTCGTTTGCCTAGTGGTTCCATGCTTCGTGGTTCCAAGTGACCTGTAAGCTCTGGGTTCGGCTGCAAGAAATTCTGGGCGCCTACAGGTCGTTTTTCGGTGCTGTGGGCTCAGGTGAGGCTTCACATTTGCCTTCCCACCAGCTAGCATGGGTTTGTGCGCAGGCCCCTGTAGGAAGACGACTTGCCTCTTGGTGAGTTGGCCCATTTTGGCACAAGCCCGTGTTCGCTGGGAGGGGGGTTCCGGTGGGTTTCCTTTGGCTTCCTGTTAAAACCACCACAAAAAGAGTGCCATCAAAAATTTGACACCCTCATCAATTTTTGCACAAGCCCGTGTTAGCTGGTGGGAGGGCAAATCGTTGAATCTGGTGCCAAAGCCCACAGAACACCACTATGGTTGGTGGGGTCCGTGCTGACCTGCGTCACTTGGGGTGGATACTGGACGTATCCCTGCGGAGGTCGCCGGGGCCCTATGAAGTTCGGGGCTTTTGGGAGCGCAGCGATCCTTGGAGCTGGACATCGCGATGGGAGGGAACGTCCTTTCAAGCGATTGATCGCCGGAGCAACTGACTTGTTTGAAGAGGCAAATCTGAATTGGCTCGGTGAAGAGGCAAATCTGAAGTGCGAGCATTTTTGGTACCCAGAAGGGACATAAAGAAAAGACATGGGGCAGGTGAAATTGGCACGCTTTGTTGGTGCTTTAGTTTGATGCATCTCCTTCCATCCCGACAAAGCCATACGCCCGGCGAAGGGGAGGTGTTTTTTCCTCGCAGGTTCTGAGATGCTTGCGACCTTCTGAAATTCGGCTGCGCAGCTTCCGCATGCGACCGCTGAACATGCGGCACGCATCTTCGAACCAATAGACTTCCATTTGGCGAATATGTTCTCCCCTGCTGGTTTTAAAGGGAATCGATTTCACTACTTGAAATATGTATTTTTCTCCAGGGGACTCAAGCAAATGGAGGGAGATATGTGTTCTCTTCTGTGGCCAACTGAGCATTTGTGAAGCACTCGCCGACACACACACACACACAGTGATTTGGTGCTTAAGCAACAACTCTTGGCTCATCACTTCGCAGTTTTCAGCTACGGGCTGGATTCGTGCTCAGAGAGTCCGCCCAGCTTGTTCGGAGGACCCTCCAGCGGCTAGCTTCTAAGAAGCTCCCGCAATTTCTTCCAGCGGCGCGACAGGCTTGGCGACTAAGCCATAGACAGCTTGGAAAGCATAAAGGAGAGTGAACACGATCTCATGGAATTCTCATGGAATCTCATGGAATCTCATGGAATCTCATGGAATCTCATGGGTGGTATGTTTGCCATGGGAATCGACACGCACAATGTTTTGACTTTTTGTTGCGCGACTTTGTTGCTGATTTGTTGATGGACTTTCAAAGCCAGAACATTCCGTCACGGGAAGAAGGTTTGCACACGGTTTAAATCCGTCCTTGAACCATCGAGTGTTGAGTGTGGTGACCGCATAGTGCAGGGCAGACGTTTCCAAGCGACTTGAAACCAAGTGGCAGAATCGGTCTTGTCCAAAGGGCCTGCTGTCACGCATGGGAATACGTAAGTTGCATATTGTCCGTCCCCCATCTCCATTCCTTGCGCAGTGCCTGAGCCAGTCGCCCAGATGAACGTGAAACAGGGCTTCTCCACTCGCCAATGGCGACTGGAATGGGCCGATAGAGATCATACATGCGGTAGCTGGACAAATGGCTTGGGCTGGTGCTGAGTTCTACGTAACTTGTCCGTCTTGAGAGTCCATGTTTGAAGGGATGCGCTGGCTGGCGAAAACGCGCGTGGCCTGAAACTAGAACAGGGCTTGCCACTTGCAACACCGGTCACCAGAGCCACAGACAAAATCCAACTTCAGATAGTATCTTCGGAGCTTGCAAGGTGGGTCCTCGCAGGTTGTGTGTGTGTGTGCGTCCCGTAGACGAACCAAATGGGCCAGTCGTTTTTTCGGAGTTGGTGCCCCGGTGGTTTTAAAGGGACACAAGGAAGCCCACCAGTTGGAGGGGTCCAAATCCTGAAACAAGACGCACCCCAATGGTTCGCTTCTTTTAGGTCTCCCTTTGAGCACCATTCCGGAGAGCGGTCTTTTGAGGGAACCCCGCATAGATCAGAGCAAGCTCACTCATGTCCGTAGGGACATGATCAACAATCTCTTTGAAAGTCCTTTTGGTCTTATGTTTGAGGCACGTACTGGCACCGTATCCCTTTTGAGTTTGGTCCGCTTGCTGTCCTGTAACAATTGTGGAGTTCTTCATGTCCCGCTGAAGGTTCGCAGAAGGGCCCGTTCCACTTGCATTTCAGCTGAAGCGACAAGCATTCCAAAGCTGAAGTTCAACAACCACGGGTGGTTCGTATACCTCAATTAGGGGACAGATTCAAACTCCTTTGCGTAGGGGAGTCACACATACGGCGCGACGAAGATCCAACCAGGGATTCCCAACAAGGACGCGATGAGACCTATCATTCCCTTTAGGCTTTGTCGGTTGCCCTTGTGAGATTGGTGGTTTCCTTTTTTGGGAAATACTGTGCAAACAGAAACAACTCTCAGGGTTTGGTGCAATGATTTTGCAGTCGTCTCTTCGAGTTTTTGGCATGGAAGAAATTGGCATCCTTGATTGAATTGTTTTTTGTTTTCAATTTTCCACAAGATTCAGTTAATAGGTAAACTGCTTGCAGCTTCTTCCATTCCATGTAGCACTAGACTATGGTGCTGGTATGTAGCCAAGGCTGAGTTTTGCCGCTGTTCCATCGAAAGATAAAAGCCGCATCTTGAGCCACTGGGACATTTCCAATTTTACACCTAGGAATGCTTTGATATTCGGGTGCCTTATCAGAGGACCCCCAAAATGGTGTGGTTTCCTTTGGTTTCCTTTTAGAACCACGAAAAATCTTCCAAAAAAGACGCATATGGTTGTAAGGTCTCGGGTGTCATTCTGTCCTGACCTGGCTTTTTTCGGCTTCAGCTGTGGGATTTCGACGGGTGACGGGAAGGCCGGTGAGTGGCCAGGCTGGGTGGGGGGAGGAGGTTCTCGCCTAGGAAGTGTGGACCAGGCCGGACCTCTGGTGCAGGGCAGGGTATCCTGGGAAAAATCATCAGCGACCGTCTTGCTCTGATGACTTAGGGTGGCCTCCAAAACAAAAACAGCCACAAGCGGAAGGACAGGGCACGTTCAAGGTCAAGACAGGACTTGCAGTCATCCGTCATTTTGGCTTCATGGCAAGCTTTGCTTCGTCACAGGACTTCGAATGTGATTGTCACAGGGAACAACTGAGAATTCGCTGAAGGAGAAAGCAGTTTGCCCGGTCATTTCAGCGGTGTGTGGAATGTTTCCAGGTTCCATGTGAGCGTTCGCGTGCTCCCGAGGCTTTTTTTGGCTGGTCCATGAGGCAGGTCGGGGGGGTCAACGGGAGGATCAAAGTGGTTCACGACCACCCGAGGACCGCAGAGCTTTGGGTTTTTCCCCGGCATTGCCGGACCAACACCCGCTGCAGAAATGCGGGACGCCTGTTGTTTCTACTCTGGACCAAGTGGAGTTGTGTTGGACAGCTTGAGATCAGGCAAAGCACGTTCTCGCTTCTCGTGACTCAAGGCCATGGTTTGGCTCCTTGACGGCTGGCCCGCAGACCTCAGGGCCAGCTGCTCCATTGCTTGGTGCCATACCTGAAACAGACAGGCGCCCACTGAATATGGTCTGAACTGGCCAGAGATGCATCAAAAACGAGGAGCAAAGGTGTTTCCCATGAAAACACGGACAATCTACAAGTGCAGCATTGCACATTTGGTACTTGGCTTTGCCCAAACGCGCAAAGCATTGCTGACCAATAAAGTGGCTGGGACCTCATTTGATGCGCAGGTTTCAAGAAGCCGCCGGGCTTTTTGCAACGCAATGCCTGTCAGTCGATCGAACCTGGATTGGTGAACTGAGAGCTGATCGAGGCACTTGGTGCCTGTGAACAAGGGGTCATGAATCCTTGAGCAAGATGTTAGGGTTGGTTTCTTTTTTGGGCCCCCCCAAACAGTTTTTTTTCTTCTTTGCTTTTTTTCTTTTCTTCTGTTCTTCTTTTGGTTTCTGTCTGAAACCCAACCTAAACAGGAGTCCCCAAAAAACGAACTCCAAAGACACCCCCCAAATTCTCACAAAGCTCCAGACGCGGACGGCCCATTTCAAGAGTTTTTTGCCGCGCGCTTTTTTGTTATTTTCCCCTGAGAGTCCCCACGGAATATGGTGCAAGACAGGGTTGTGGGATCTGTGATACAAGGGAATCCCCCTTTCTATGAACAAAATAGTCGTTGGGAAGCCCTTTCTGGTGTCACAGAAGTGGTCATTCCCCACAGCCCTGGTGCAAAATAGTTCTTGGAATCGCAAAGTCTAGGCTTTTGCGAGTATTTTCTCCCCTTTTCCGAAGCCTGCGCACAGCAAACAATCTATACAAATGCAATCTTGCCAGTTCCGTGGCAACTAGCTGCCCTTTTTCCAGGGTTTAAGGGAGAGGCCTGTTTACCCCAGGTTGGCATCAGGAGCACAGGCCATTGGTTCATGGCTTCAATGAAGCCGTCCAAATGCCCAGGTGACGGCTTCCCTCAGCTCGCCTTTGAATGCGTGTGCACGTGGTAGAGAATGCCGAGGATGCGGGCAACATCTTGGGCATCGGGCAAACGCAAGCGACTTGCTTCGTTGCTTTCAAACGGAAGCTATCCACCACCGGACATGTGTTCTTTAAGCACAATATGCTTGTTTCCAGGGGACTTAAGCAAATGGAGGTTTGAGAGAAGGGGGCTGTGCCGAATGGGGCAATTTTTGCCGGCGACCAGTTGAAAGAGTGGTGTGTCTGGACCTCTCGATTGGGGAAGAATATTTGTTCTACTTGCCCCTGTTGGGTTTCAAGGGAATCGAACATGTATATATATATATATTCATATATATATATATATATGATATGTTATTTTCCCCTGGTTTGTTGGCCATTGCTGGCTCATGCAGAGCAACTGCGGCACTGGCGGAGTACTTTGAGGCAGTTTTTCTGGGGGGGAGGCACAGGGAGCCATCCGCGCCGTTGCCAACACACCGGGCCCCGGGCTTGCCGTCGGCTGGTGAGCCGCGACTTGTGAAGAAGATGGCTCACCGGGTGAGCCATCCAATCCAGTCCTGGTCCTCTGCATTTTATGTATTTTATGTGTTTGTTGCATGTATTTGTTTACCGTGTGTTATGTATTTTGTGTATTTTCTCTTGCGCATGGGGGATGATGCTTCGCGTGTCCTGTGGCTGTGGCCTCACAAACCCCCACCTGAGCAAACCTGAGAGCCGAGCATGTTCCTAATATTGCCCCACTAGCATAGAACCTTACAGAAAAAGGTCCTGGTCTTGTCTTCCTTTAAAAGAGACCTGATGGGTTCCGTGGCAATATGGACCAGAGTTGAATTTGTTAAGATCTCCCAACTCCCAAGGCCCCCAAAGGCCAACTTGAAGCTCCCTGTACTGTACATTTGGCTGCACCGAACCTGCCTTCCGGTCAAGGCCAAACCTCTGAGATTCCAGGGTTTCTCGAAAAGAGTATTTTGCCGAACTTTATTTGTGCCTTTGTTCGGAGTTAGGCTCTTTTTTAGTAGGTGTCAGAGACAAACCAAGAGGAAACCTTGCTGGTGCTCAGGTTATGAGAAATGGAACGACCCCGAGCAAAACCATCCTTTGTAGTGGTTTCCTTCATTCGCGAATCCCCGAACGTTTGATTCCATTTCTCATTCCCTGGCTATCGCACCAGCAAGAAAACATGCGCCGCGCCTCAGACACTCCATACAAAGCAGCCTTTCCCTTCAGTTTCTCCGTAAAAACCCTCCATGCAAAGCAGCCTTGCCCTTCAAACCCACCTCATTTTGGCCCAAA